GCAGCCCTGACAGCCCGAAATGCTTCACTGGAAGAAGAGCACTTTTACCTTTGCTCCAGTGGTTGAGGTAGCAGCCCCATCTTGATTAGTCTTCTCTTCCAAGGCGACTGTTTAAGTTCACTTTCTGTTTTAGCCTAAGTCTGAACTTGCTGCTTATGAACATGAATTATAAATGATCCATACAGACTAAAATATTAAAGTGATGAATCATGCATGCCTTTTGTTCGAATCTAATGCTAAGTGGGAAAATCAAAAATGCTCATGTGGTTCTGTATGTCAGTTAAATTCTCAAATGGAAAAAAAAAGCAATGTGTTTACAATTAGTATTGTATATGCAGCCTTATCACAGTTACCAGAGGTTCCCTGGGAAGTTATCACATTCCAGTATCAAAGCTAAGTAGGATATATAACTCAGCTGCATGTTAGGCTGGAGAGGTAGAAATTATCTTATAGGATAAAAAGATCCCATCCCCTACTACAATGTAGAAGTGGCATGGCTTTCCAGCAACGAAACGGGCATCCTACGATGGTCTGGATTCTTAACGTGGTTTACTGGAAGCAACATCAAACAGAGTGACACCGTTCCTCTTGTATTTAAGTGTGAATCTAGAGAACAAGGAGGGCGAGGGAGCCCCTCCTCCTGTCCTGCGTCGCCTACCTGGCAGCTTGAAGGCGAGTTCGGTGCTTGAGAGCCCTGGAGGTCATCAGCTGATTGCGAAAGGACACGCAGGGGTTCCTGTTCTCATCACTCCTTCTCCGCTCTTCAGGTGCCAGCCAGGGTTCCTGCGCCATGCTGATCTGCATCTCCGTTCTTCTCAACGTCCTGCCCCCAAACGGTAAGTAATACCTTACTTACACTCTCTTCCGCAATTAGAGCCACAACACGTAACATTTCACAGGAAACGGTAACACAATTTTCCTCGTCTGAATATTCGTCGAAAATGTTGATAAGCTATCATCAGTTTTCAGAAGATTATAACATCAAATATATTTCTGCAGTGATAACAACATCTGCTAAATAACGCACAAAACTGAAAACACTGGTGCTTTGTAGCTTTGGAACTATCAACAAATTTGTTTATTAAAAGGACCTGAAGGCCGCGCACGGGGGCTCACGCCCGTAATTCCTAGGCATCTGGACGGCCGAGGCGGCGATTGTTGGGAGTCAGGCAGTTCGAACCGGAGCAAAGGTGAGACCCCGTCTCTACTATTAAATACAAAGAAATTAATTGGGGCCCCAGCACCTATATAGATATACATAGAAAACTGTACCGGGCATGTGTCATGCCTGTAGTCCCATTAACTCAGGAGGCTGAGGCAGGAGGATCGTGTGAGCCCAGGAGTTTGAGGTTGCTGTGAGCTTAGGCTGACGCCCATGGGCATCACTTAGCGCTTGCAACAAAGGGGGACTCTGTTTAAAAAAAAAAAAAAAAAAATATATATATATAATATATAAGCCTGAAGTGCTAAAAAAGAAAAAGAAGGAACATGCTAAGCTAGAAAGTGCTAGCTATATGTTCCTAAAATACCACACTGCTTGAGGCACTCGTTAAACACCAAGACGACACTATTCATGTCTACTATAGAAGATATACATGAGTATCACAGGCAGTTAGCACAAGGCAAGCAGCTGCAATTTACATCTTGAATGTTGTTGATATATTTAAGAGCCTGAACTAGAAGACCCTCTGGGTTCCCAGCGGAACTCTCAATCACTAGCAATAGGCAATTTGGCTAACGAAGGTTTTAGATTCACCTGTCAACATTGAACCTCCCTTTTTTTTTATTTTAGATGACACAGTCTACTCTGTCACCCAGGTAGGTGGTGGTGGCATCATCCATTAGGCTCACAGCACTCAAACTCCTGGTCCAGCGATCCTCTGCCTCAGCCGTCCCGACGTGAGTGGGACTACAGGCCTGCACCACATACCCAGCTAATTTTTCAATTTTAGTAGAAGATGGGGTCTTGTTGCTCAGCTACTCTTAAGCTTCAAGCAATCCTCCCACCTTGCCTTCCAGATGCTAGGACTTACATGCTTGAGCCACTGGAGCCCAGCCTTTTGATTTTTTTGATGTATGCCATCTGTTTAGGAGTGAGTTGTAGTTGATTATAATACTTTATATATGTTATTCTAATAAAAAATCTTAAGACTAATATGGAGATAAATTATCCATTTCTATCAAGACCAAGGAGAAATATCAGATAACAGCTAAAAATAAAAATATAATTCCTATATTAATGACTACTGTAAGAGGAAGAGGAACTGCTTGCTCTAACAGATAGTCAGAATGTTGCGGATGAAGGATGAGGTAGGAGTGGGATTACATAATTTATGTTTTATTTTATTTTTTTTAGCAGTTTTTTTTTTTTTTTTTTTTTTTAGACAGAGTCTCACTTTGTTGCCCAGGCTAGACGGAGTGCGTGGCGTTAGCCTAGCTCACAGCAACCTCAAACTCCTGGCTCACGTATCCTTCTGCCTCAGCCCTCCCGAGTAGCTGGGACTAAGCATGACCACCATCCGGCTAATCTGTTTTTTTTATTTTTTATATATGTATATCAGCTTGGCCAATTAATTCTTTCTATTATTAGTAGAGACGTGGTCTCCATCTGCTCGCTGGTTTTGAATCTGACTTGGTGTAGCAATCCGCCCGCCTCGGCCTCCCAAGAGGCTAGGATTACAGGCGTGAAGCCACAGCGCCGCCTATTTTTAGCAGTTTTTAATATGAGTGAATTAAGATTGATTTTTTCTTGCATCTTCTCAAGTGTTCTTCCCTTGACTTGCCCTTTCCTTCCTACTTGGCAAGATTTGGCTTCCGTTCAAGGGATCTTTTGGTCTTTGTCCAGTTTAAGCTAGTATAACCACTGCTGTGAATGCCACTGACAGTTGTGCCATTGCCTTTTCCTGCTGCACCGTCAATGTAGATGAACATATTCTTCCGGAAACCTGACTCTTTGCATTTGTGACCCTGTTAGTCCCACCACCTGAACTTAACCATCCCTTTCGGTGGATGGATCTGGCATTGTATTCTGTCTCAGCTCTCTTGAAAAGGGAGAAACATAATTTCCTGCCAAACATGGGAAAGGTGCACTGAAATGCTTTTCCAGTTCTTGCTCGGGTCCGAAGTCACAAAGGGATTAACTTCATTTGCGCTGCACTCTGGCGATGGCCGCAAAAGGAGAACTATTTTTATTTTTAAGGCAAGCATGAAATGAGGTATTGAGGACAGAAAGATAGGATTATGAGCAAGAACAAATATAGGTTTACAGAACATGATATAGATGCCACAGAAGACGCAGCACATTGTCAAGGAAAAGAGCTTAAAAAGTAGGTTCTTATACTCAATGTGGGGGTTTGTGGGTTTTTTTTGAGACAGAGTCTTACTTTGTTTCCCAGGCTAGAGTGAGTGCCATGGTGCAGCTAGCTCACAGAAACCTCAAACCCTGGGCTCAAGCGATCCTCCTGCCTCAGCCTCCCAAGTAGCTGGGACTACAGGCATGTGCCACCAGCCTGGCTAATTTTCAGTGTATATATTAGTGGCCAATTAATTTCTATTTATAGTAGAGATGGGGTCTCACTCTTGTTCAGGCTGGTTCGACTCCTAACCTTGAGCAATCCACCCGTTTTTAGCCTTCCCACAGTGCTAGGATTACAGGCGTGCACCACCGTGCCGCGCCCAGCTATACTCAATGTTTTATAATACAACTTTAAAGACAAAGAAGATATTGGCAAATCTTACTGCTTTTGAGAATACTCTTGAATTAGAACTAAAACAGGAAAAAGAAAGAAGATTTCAAAACAACAGGAACATCCCAGGGAAGGGTTCTCAGAAGCCAGAACCCAAGATGGTAATATTTGCTATTCCCTTGTTAATTTAATTAATTTTAATTTGAATTTTAGCGGCTATTTTCCGGGCCTGTCCATGTTCTTTCATGGATCACATACTCGCTATGGCCTCGAGCACGTAGACAGCAACTAGTGATGGATGAAAGCCTGATTCTGAGTCTGCCTCTAGGACACTCTTTCTAACGTGATTTCATTTGGAAAGGGGGAGTTTAATAATCATAACTTCCAGTGACACTCTTTTCCCTTTTAAATTTTTTAGTAAGATTATTGTGATATCTTAACAAAAATATGTGTTTCCTGGAATCTGCTAATACTTTTTTTTTTTTTTTTTTTTTTTTTTTTGAGACAGAGTCTCGTTCACCTTCATCTTGCTTTTCTTTAGAATTTATAGACCCCGTCTCTACTATAAATACAAAGAAATTAATTGACCAACTATAATATACATAGAAAAACTTAGCCGGGCATGGCTG